ACATAGCTCCTTGGCAGGAATTTTTGATTTGTTCGAAGCTAGGACGATTTTTTTTCTTTTGTCATGTCTGTTTTTTATGGCTTCAGCTTTGATTAGAACCCGAGTTTCTGGTTTAGTTCTTATTATTTGTTGTTTTTCATTTTTTTTAATGTTTTGATATAACATAACTTCTTAGCACCCTACCTAATAATTAAACGTAGGTAAATAGATAGGTCCGGTGCGTAATGAGAAAAATATTAGCGCCTTATTAGTACCGAATAGTTATGAAATACTTTTATTATCATTATTATTATTATTATGATGATGATGATGATGATGATAATAATAATATATCAATAAGATAATTAGAACTAATAGGTAATTTATATGCAATGGATTTAAAGATACACTCTCAGGTATATATATATATATATATATATATATATATATATATATATATATATATATGCATGTATGTATGTATGTATGTATGTATGTATGTATTCGCTGGTCACTTAATTATGTGCACATGACTAAATGTTCTTTCACAGAATTTTTTAATCAGATTGTAACGTGGCAGGAAACCAACAGATGGAAGCATTGAAACATGGTCATTACGATAGGAATTTTATTTAAGCAACTTAGAACGCGGCCTGGTAGTTGGCGCCAGGCAGGCGTGTTTGATTATATCAAAAACTACTGATATACGGATTGTGACGCGCAACAATCAATTCAAAAGAGCGGTAGATCTGTAGGTGGAAACCCTTGTTGACGAAATTGGTCAGAGGAGAACGTTCCAACTACAGTGTAACTCGGATATAAGAGAGTTATCGGGACCGGAGAAGAAGTCTCTTATATTCGGGTTTCTCTTATATCCGGGTTTGGTCTATTTTGTTTAGGTAAGTATGGGAACAATTTGGGACCAGAGAAAATCTCTCTTATATCCGGGTTTCTCTTATATCCGGGTCTCTTATATCCGGGTTACACTGTAGTAGCAATTCTACAGTCGTATTGGACTATGCCATGAAGCACTCCTGGCAGATAAGAAGGAGAAACTGAGACTAAAATTCGGTAAGAATGACAAAAATTGAGAATAAATGTTTGGTAAACATTTGACTAAAGAAAATTGGAAAATCTTTTATTTATTTTTTTTTCTCTATTTCTATTTCGATATTTTGTTTTGATTTCTTGATATATTTCTTGTGTACGTTGGCTTAGGAGAGAAGTGATTGTGTTAGGAAAGGTGATATTGGGAAAAAAGAAGTGAAAAGAAAACAGTTGAATCCGTCAACACAACAATAAAAACAATATTTCTACACATGAAAATATTCTCTTCAAACATAAAGTAATTGACATAATTTTTCTGCTAACCATATGAATATACAATAGCATTTCTAAATTCTTCTAGTTGCTAACATTTTATTTATAGATACTTTCTTTCAATAAAGACATTTCGTTTCTTGCCTTAAAAAAGTCCACGCGTTGTCTAAAACTACAGCTTCTATAATGTCTTTTTTCTATATATATATATATATATATATATATATATATATATATATAAATCTATGTCCATCTCTTATTTCTTATCTCTCTACTCCCTCCCCCTTTTTCTTTTTCCCCTTTTTCTTTTTTTCTCATATCATTTCCGATTCATGACCGATTAAATAGGTCAATGTCTGGTCTTTACCCCCTCCTTTTCAATATTAATTATTGTAATAAAAATAAAAATGAATTCTAAAACTCTCTCTTCCCTCCCTAATTTCGACCATGTCTCTCACACTATCCCTCATCACCCTCTATGTCACCTCATATAAGATTAATACTGCCCTTCAAAAGTGTAAATTTTAATTTCATTTTTTCATACTTGAAAGGGAATTCTGAAAATCCAGAGAATAATAAATGCTCTGGTGAAATAAATTATTACAGTGGTACCTTAAAAGTGGTCTTTTTTTTTTTTTTTTATATATTATATATATATATATATATATATATATATATATATATATATATATATATATATAATTCTGAACCAGGTAAATATAACATAAACTGTCACACCTGCTTCTCACAATACACTGGCGAAACTTGCAGAAATTTAAAACCGTATATTTTACACAATTTATCAGACGCATTAATCATAGATAGAAATAAATTCAACCACAACTTTTATCTAAAAGGCGACACACTTACTCAAATAACCTACACCCCGAACAACGTTAATAGCTTGGTAAAACTTTCCCCAGCTGATTTATAAAATATGTTAAAACCATTGTTAGGTTTTTATTATTCTCTGTAACGTCGATTATTTATTATTTCAAATTCGATACATTTTGGATGAGCCATGATAATAGCGTCTCTCCTATCTATAAATAATAGAATATGGAAAAAAGACCTTAAGCATGAAGAAAAGTCTGTCATCATCAAGGAATGTGCTTAAGGCACCTGTCTTCATGTCATTGCGTAATAGTCAGGCCGCCATGCGGACACGGTTAGACGATACCCGAGGGAATCCTTCCCCAAGTAGGGAACGATCCGATTGTGAGACCTCCATGACTATCACAGCTACGGATTTAAAGAATATCGTGCGTAAATCACGAGGGAAACCCGGACAAAGAGGCAATGCTATTTTCACTGCCGCTGGACTTCCTCGTGCACAAAAATCTACCAGAAATAGCATTCCAAGATCACAGCTTCCATACGAGGTCACTTGAAACTGCTTCCTTTAATGTCCTGTCAAAGTAATTTGAGGCTTTAATGGGCTCGAAAGTATATTGACAACGTGACATTGAATATGAGCTGTGTTCTTAATATTATTATGGTTTTCAGTTAAATATCTACTCAAGGCATGCTTAATATGTATCATCCTCTTTCATTTTCTCTAAAAAATATCTATTTTATTCAAAAGTTATTATCGTGGTTCACACCCAAAAAACTGTCGAATCAAAAATAAAAATAAAGGACGTTATACAGAATAATGAAAACCTAACAATGTTTTTGCCATATTTTGTAAACCACCTGGGAAAAGTTTTATCAAAATCAATTCACAGAAAATCGAGAAATCGTACATTTCATAACCAAGCTATTAGTCTGGTTTGGGGTGTAGACGAAAAATTCCTGAGAGTGCAGCTATCTAATCTCACATCTAGATACAAATCTACGCCCCGGATATTTTTTTTTTCAAATATCTCCGTTTCTGAAAAAATTACTTCTTTCCCAGCCCAACCTCCATGACTATAAAAATTAAAGAGATTAAAAGTAAACGGTTAAATTCATAACCTTATTTAATTTAAAATATATGACGCATAAATGAATACCAAACTAAAATGAATAGCTGGTCATCGTATTCAAGGATACCCGCCTACTAATAGCCAATCCCTATTGTAGACTCTTGCTCAGGCACATTTGTGTTTGTTCAACCGCCACAGAGGTGGTTTATATTGCAACTATGTTGAGCAGACCTAACGTAATCCACAATCTGAACAAGGCCAGTACCCTCATACCTTCGGTCACGATAAAGTGAGACTTCGTGCTAGCACAGCTATCAATGGCCTCCAAAGTTTCACTCACAAGGCTTGGGGCAACGCGTGGTATGGTTTTCAGACACAATTGGACAGTTTTGTATCATTTATTTACTAAAAAGAAAGAATAATAAGATCAAATGAGAAATTATATATAAAAAAAAACTTAATCAAATCTCCTTATCTGTCATATTTAATGAAGCTTGCATGAAAGAAGGATTGTTACCTAAATACACAATATATATATATATATATATATATATATATATATATATATATGTCTGTGTGTGTGCGTGTGTATGTGTGTGTGTATGTATATATGTATGCGTAAACATATATAAAAGAACAGTAAGATTTACAATCCGGTGTTCTTAGTAATTATTTATATTAAAAATATTCGTGCTCCGTACAAAAACCGTAAAGCATAATTTGCCAAAAGTCGCTTAAGAATTTAAATTTAAATTTTGTAATTAAACTTAAAATTTTAGTTTCTGATTTGAAACAGGGTAATTCCTGTGTAGCGATGGGACCATATTTAAAAATAATAAATAATTATTATATATATATATATATATATATATATATATGACCGGATATATTGTAGCGTCCTTGTCGAACGTAATTTCAATGAAGAAATGAATTGAATAAACATATGTATTTTTTCTTTTCTCAATAATTTTGTAGTTTTTAAACTTAATAGTGTTTAAATTTGGATTTTAAAATTGCCAGTTTTTAATTTTAATATTAAATTTTATCATGTAATTTTATAATTATTAGTTAGTATAAATTATTTTTAATATTACATGTATTTAAAAATCTGAATAGCTATTATAGCAGGATTTCGTTGTCAATCTTTTGAATCTCTCTATACTTGGTTTTTGATTGGTTATTCTAGCTTTTGTAACAATGTTTCCCCCTAGTGTAGGATCGTTAATTAATCTGAAACTTTTAAAACCATTTATTTTATTTTCAACATCATCACTTGATAAGACACAGAGTGTGTTGAAACAAAATGGCTATTTTCGTAGTGATCTTATAACATACTTATGTTATAATTTTTTATAAAAAATAATTATATATATATATATATATGTGTGTGTGTGTGTGTGTGTCTGTGTGTGTCTGTGTGTGTCTGTGTTTGTATGTGTGTGTGAGAGTGCGCACACACGTATATAAGGAAGAGAATGAGGAAGAGTCAATGCAAACCCTTTTCAGGTATTGATAATTGACGCATCGAGGTAATTAATGTCTGCAGGATTTAAAATTCAGCCCCAATTCAACAAATATTCACTATCAAACACTGACAAAGACTGCAGAAGCAGCCGAAAAGTTTGTAATTTCCATAAACCTTTATAATGCTTCAATATGTCAAATAAGTAGAAACAAATAAAATATACGACGAATACCTTTGTCATAATTTCCTCAAGAATATAAGATACATATGGGGATACGTACAATCGGCAAACTCGTGTATTTTTACATTTAAATTTACCCTCTCGAATTATGTACCGGGAATTGTCTCTGCTAATATTTCCTTCTGAATATGTGTATATCTCTGTACGGAGGTAACTCAGTGCGTATTTATTGTTTGTGTACTGACAATGTTGTGTTCGCGTGCGTGTGTGTAAAACATTACGAAATCATGTATTTTAGTCTATGAGGCTCTGACGTTTGATTAAAGCGTCTCTCTCTCTCTCTCTCTCTCTCTCTCTCTCTCTCTCTCTCTCTCTCTCTCTCTCTCTCTCAACTAAATCAGAAGAGCAATAGTCGTCTCTATATTTTGCCGGATTTCGCATTGACCTTTTTTCTCGGCCATTTCTCAATGAGTGCCAAGTGTCATCAAAAGTCATCACCGGCCTCTCGAGTTCAGCAGTCGATGGAAGCCGCTGCTTTCATTGCTGAATAATATGAAGCTATATAAACTAGAAAAACTCCCGCTGATTGTGCGGCTCTGACACGCAATAAGATATTTATGGGACAGATTATTTCAGAACAGCCAATGTCGGCTGGCAACACTTTTCTTTCATTTTTCTTCTTTTCTTTTTTCTTTTTTTTTTTTTTTAGGCTTTTACTCGTCTTAACAGTTGTGATTTCTAAGTTTACTTCATTTTCTTACGATTTTCACTGGCTTTCGTTTTTTACTGTGTGCAAATAATTTTTATTTTCCATCCTCGTTTTATCTATCTACCAACCTACCTACATACCTATCTATGTATCTATCTCATTCTCTGCAATACTATCTATCTATCTATCTATCTATCTATCTATCTATCTATCTATCCCATTCTCTCCGCTATCTATCTATCTATCTATCTATCTATCTATCTATCTATCTATCTATCTATTTCTCTTCAATATCTATCTATCTATTCCATTCTCTTCGATATCTATCTATCACATTCTCTTCAATATCTATCTATCTATCTATCTATCTATCTATCCATCTATCTATCTATCCATTCTCTCAATATCATCTATCTATCTATCTATCTATCTATCCATTTCTCTTCAATATCTATCTATCTATCCCATTCTCTTCGATATCTATCTATCTATCTATCTATCTATCTATCTATCTATCACATTCTCTTCAATATCTATCTATCTATCCCATTCTCTCTATCTATCTATATCTATCTATCTATCTATCTATTTCTCTTCAATATCTATCTATCTATTCCATTCTCTTCGATATCTATCTATCACATTCTCTTCAATATCTATCTATCTATCTATCTATCTATCTATCTATCTATCCCATTCTCTTCAATATCTATCTATCCCATTCTCTACAATATCTATCTATCTATCTATCTATCTATCTATCCATTTCTCTTCTATCTATCTATCTATCGATATCTATCTATCTATCTATCTTCATCTATCAATATCTATCTATCTATCTATCTATATATCTCATTCTCTTCAATATCTATCTACCTATTTTATTCAGTACAGATTTATTTCAGCCTCCTTCTCTCTATATTCATTGATTGATTCGTTTACTACGGCTTATCAATACTTTACAGGTTCTTTAATGACATAAAATATTTTAAATTGTGATAATTGGTTTTAGATTAATGATTTAGTGATAAAAGTAAATGAGGGATGAAGAACTGAATTCATACCCCTCCCAAGGGTCTTTACGCGTAAGTGATTACAAAAAACACGTCTGGAATTGGAACTCTGCTCTCAGAGTCATTATCCATTACACCATCCATACATCCAAGCCTACATCACCTGCTATTCCTTAACGCTCTCAGCCATTAAGTTACTGACCAGGCTCGGCATTCCGTAAGTTCAGTAATCGTACGTAAACCGTTTCAACGTGATATGGCCAGAAGTCTCTTTCTCCATATAGGTTGCGTTATCATGTTCATTTCCCGTGGCCTAACTTGTATAGCACACTTTGTCTAAATAATTGCTTATCTCGAGAGAAAATATGCCGCGACGTGAAGTAATGAGTCTAGTTTACTCTTACTACTGAGTTAATAACTTCAATTCTTACTTGGTGTCTCATAAAAATTTCAGCATTAAATAGCCCACAACCAAGATCCATATCACCCTGACAGAAAATATGGCAATACAGGTTCGATCCCTGTTGGTTAACACATTTTCTTTAGTAGAGATTTTACAAGCGTAGCTCAAATGTGGCACAAGGTCGAAAGAATGGGGCACCCAGTGAGGATCGAACTCACTACTCCGTCGTAATCCTTCTAGCACGAAAAGCTAGCTAACCATTACACCGTCTCGAGGTTCCCCACATTTATTTTAGTATGATTACTCGATCTCTAAATCAGTTGGCATTAAGGGTGTCTACACCGACTAGATATAATGTTTATATTAACAAAAATAATATCAGATTTAAAAAAAAATCATTACTTGCTTACGTTAGGTTTCGATTGGAAAGCCACCCTCCCCCAAACACACGAACCACGCGACGATTAATATGTCTTTATTTATTATGATGTTGCGTAACTTTTAAGCAAAAAGTTACACTTGAGGGGAAAATAAGAATACCCGTTCGATTCCTGTATTAAGGCAAATTTTCTGTAGTAGGATCTTTCGATGTATGTGCAATTAGACATTAACTTCACTGTTAAAATAACATGGATGTCTACTCACTAAATATGACATTAAAAGTAATGATATATATAGTAATTATTAGGAGGATTTGATAATTATATTTTAATTAATTCATCGAGTCCGATAGAAACCTCAACAGAATGCACTGGACGGCCGTTTCGTCCTATATTTGGGACTCATCAGCAGTGTGCATCCACTACCGAGAATTGAAACCCTGACAGTTAGGTTGTCAAGCAACATCATACCAACTGTTTCGAATGGGCCTCGGTGAAGAAGAGATTGCAAATCAGACTCAATATTGCGCCGCTCGCTCACATATTCCGTGGCGGAACTCTACTGAGTTCCCTGTAACAATAGGACTGTGCACCCTGGAGCCACGACTACTCTCACCAAGCCGCTCACTCTAGAACATTAGAAGCCACTTCAAGCGATGATATACACAGATAGTTATTATTAGGAGGATTTGATAATTATATTTTAATTAATTCATCGAGTCTGATAGAAACCTCAACAGAAATATATGTATATATATCTGATATATATATATCTGATTGAAACCTCAACAGAAATATATATATATATATATATATATATATATATATATATATATATATAGAGAGAGAGAGAGAGATAGATATAGATAGATAACTAGACTCGTTTCGAAAAACCCTCGAATTTTTGATTTGCCAATAATCAAACCAATCTCGAAAGAAAAAACGTTTTTAAAAAAAGAAAGAGCTAGAAACATGAAAGTCTGTCGAAAACAATCGCACAGATACAGGTTCAAAGCCCAAAGAAAAAAACCCCGATACGAGTAACCAACTAACTAACAAAAGAGCTCAATACAACCGTAGAGCAGACCTAGATACACCTAGTGAGCCAGACAAACCTACTTAGGTTTCACCTAAACGGATATATATATCGGGTGTAACAGCAAAATTGTTCAATTGTTAGATTGGGCTTTCAATCCTTGTATCTTGGAACTGATTAAAGATATTTTACTGAAATTCTTGGAGATTTTTTGTTGTGTATGATACACCTAATTTACATAAGCGGACTACCGACCATATAAATATGGGTTGGTACCGGAAGACGGGGAAGATAGTAGAGATTAAGAAATTGAATCCAGAGACTCTGCCCGACTGCGATTTAGTCAACCCATTATGCAGGAACAGTCTTCCCAAGAATATACCAAACTAACTGTAAATATTGTGTACCTATTCTTTGTTTCAATACATTTTGTTAACGTACATTTTGTGTTGTATTATTCCATGCTTATTTAAGCTTCAACATTTTTATAACACTACTTGACTCTACTTTGAGCAGTAAGAATGGATAATGACTTTCCAAGCTTTTAATGTGACGCCTTTCGTAGTAAATTTTGACAAGTTTTGTGACGACGTTCTGCGATCAGCCGTCGTTCACTGTACCTGTGCTAGCATCCCAGTTTAATTTTATTTGCATATACACCCACTTTGTGATGTGCACAGGTTTGTCTCGTTGACGGAGATCGCATTAAACAAATGATAATAATGGCGACAAATGTTTTAAAAGACATGGTTTGGGAGTTCACAAGAATACGATTTCTCATTTAGCCGGCTACCTTTTCCTTCAAGTGAACTGCTGTCTCCTCATATTCGGCTGCTCCCTTCCTCAATGACCTCTGACCTCTGCGACTACTGCTTCCTAACTACCGGTCCTTCTGTCACTAGGCAGCTGCTAATTCCTCTGGGGTCTTACCTACTTCTCTCACGGCTGGACGCACTTTCTCTCGACTTCTGGCCTCTCTCTGCTTATATGAATAATCCTGGGGCCCCAGCCCCTCTATCCACATGGATGCTCAAATCTTCAAGGGAATATTTTATGATTATTTAAAATCATTTATAAAATCTTTATGTTTCCCAATTCAAAGGCGATAGTTGAGTGGACTGAAAAGGAAGTAATTTACCTTCTTACCTTTTAAAGACGTGTGAGAAATTACATTAACAGAAAAATTGTGATGAAATCGATCATAAACGAAAATGGCATGCTTATCATTAATTATTCATAGTTAAGAATCGGAAGTTTATGAAGGATTGAAATTAAGTTCAAATATATATATATATATATATATATATATATATATATATATATATATATAATTTTTCAGCTTATTCAAGATGATCCTTGCCCCTGTAACCTTCTAATTTCCTGTCCCGTAGTAACAAGTTGTCTCACAGGTTTAACTTACGATTTCATTTTCTTTTCCCTGCTCTTTGGGCTGTCATAGCTGAAACTCCTCTCTCACGTACCAATCGTCCTATGAATTGAGTTGGATCTTTTCTAATTTGTCTCTTTAACTCTACTTTCAACTTTAAGTTGAAATGATGATCTCTGTTCCTGTTGTGACCTCCTTATGCAGTTTTTTTTCTCGCTAATGTTCCTTCTTTTTAAAACTTATTCACTGTTCTCTTGATTGTTCATGAATGAACTTTGTAGACGGAAGCCAGAGTCTGAATGTTCGTACCAATACTGAAGGCCTGAATGATCATTTTCCTCTCACCATCGCTCAGTTGAGAAGACAGTTTAACCTGTTCCCTTTCTAGCTGAATAACTCAATTTTTTTCAGTGATTCTTACGACAAATGGTATCAAGATGGCTAGACGTTTTATCTGAAAACGTGGAAAAAGAAACTCGATTAGTTTAGTGTTTTTTTTTTTTTTTTTTTTTATTTTTGTAGATTTGCGGAATGGACAATTATGCTGTAACACGATTTTGAAAATTTTGCTATTACACTTGGTATAACGGATCTAACAGCCAAATTGTCTTCCATCTTTAAAGTGTATTTTATGCTTAAACGCAATCTTCAGATTATGTGCGTTGTGTTTTCGTTCGGCTAATATAAATACAGTTGTTTAATACATGTGATGTACTCAGCTACTAAAACGACAAAGACGGAAATGCCTATATAGCCGAGTATACTCAATTTGAATAGGTTAAGATTGCACTTTTCGGAGAAACATCTACACAGCTGGCAACTCCAGAAATCATCCATTATTGAAAAGAAGCCGTTAGAGTAACGTCGTATATCTATAGCTAATCTACCACTATTCCCATGGCAACATTTCCGACGAGCTCTATTCTTTAGGGTCACCAGATCATGTCTTTACACCTACGTCCTGCGTTACTATACTCCCAAATTTGATTCACCTTCCTCCGCTATGTATTCATTGGTAAGCAGGTACTACTTAAAAAGCTTTTATAGAACAAACACCCGGATGGGTACTTTCCCGAATACTATAATCTTATGCTATTCAATCTAGGTTTAATCCTTATTAATCCTCTTAATCGGTAACAGCAAATCGAGTTAGCCCGTTAAAAAAAACAACAAAAAAACTCTGATTTGGTTGCATGTGGTGTTGCAAGCAGCAGGAGTTGCGCCCCCTTCCACAATCGACTGTTGAGAGATGACCTTTTACTGATAGTAGTTGGCATAGACTATTTGCATAGGAACGATACTAGGCAGGTATTAGCCAATAGTCAGTGTGTCTGGGACTGAGAGAGAGAGAGTGAACTATATAACATCAGTGTCTTTCTCAGTCGAGAGGAGCGCTCTCAACGTGCGGAAACCAGACAAGACGAACACATTATCCTTATAATCTTCACTTCTTACTTTTCTTACAGTCATATCACACATTGCATTCAGTAAACCTGATGTGCAACTGAACATTTTATTTATTTAACATGGGTTAGAAAAACTGCTATTCATATTTCCATCTGTTCAAATCCAATTCTTATATTTTTGTTGAATATTCTGACCGTCCGTATAATAAAGTCAAGTTATTTGGCCCTGAGCAAAAAAGATTCATAGTATATGAGCAGCTTGATCTTTTCTTTTGATTTTCTGAACCTGTAAGCGTGGATATATTTCC